CCCCCCCAGGTTGGTTTTGAAATGAATTCCTTTCTATTTAATTATTTAGACAATACGTGAATATGTGCTCATTTTAAATTTTTGGACATACAGGCAACAGTACAAGACCTCCTTCTCACTGATGCTAGTTTGGTGTCTATTCTATTTTTCTGTGCCCCGCACACATCCATATAGACGTATAGAAGTTTAAGGTTCACTTTGTGTTTATTTTTTCCACATGTCAATGGAATCTTATGGCTAAGTATTATTCCAAAACGTGTTTTCTTTACTTAGCAACATCTCGGAGGCCACCTATGTCAGAACATGGAGACCTACCTGTTTAACTCCTGTATAGTATCCCAAAGTATGACTGTACTGCGTTTTTAGTCCTGCTTCCCTGTTACCTGTATTTCATGAGGCTCGGATCCCCCCGCCCCACCACCGCCACGGAGGATCTTCCCAATCTTGGAGAAACTGCCCCTCCTTAAGGCTAGCTAATTCCTAGAGATAGCAGACAATTTGCCTGAGAACAGATCTTTCATATACAAACAAACCTATCTGGAGCCCACACCCCCAACCACCTTATCTAACTCTCACACACCAAGTCAGTATTTCCCCTGCCCTAACTCACCCCAGGGCCGGGTACTGGATAACTAGGCACCACCTGATAGCCCAAAGCCTGCCAACACCATTCAAGCTCGAACTTGCCTACCCTAGTTCGCCCATTCCTTACCAAGGAAACCACAGCCGAGGTTCATTCCTTCTGCCTCCCCACGGACCCTGTGGCCTCGTGTGGTGTGGTGCGCCCCTCCTCTTTGGAATTATAAGTAATAAAACGTCTTTCAATGGCTGTGGCCTCACTGTGTTGGCGCTCAGTCACCTCTATACATTAAGCCCCAGGTACCATCAAAACACTGGATGATAGACATTTAGATGTTTTCAGTTTTTCACAGTTAGTGAAAGGGCCACAACGACCATCTTAATAGATACCTCTTTGGAGGAACGGCCAGGTAGTAATTACCTACTTCCTCACTGATCGCCTCGGGCAATGTCCCTCCACACCCAGCCCCCACTCTCCTTGCCCTTGTCCATTTCACAGCTATTGAGTCACAGAATAATGAGACTCAACCACAGGGGTGGCCCCTGGAATAGTTTGAGCACCAAAGATGCTCCACAATACAAAACATCTCCCTCCTCCCACCAGTCCTCCCTGACCCCTGAACTTCCTGTTTGAAACTGAGCATCACCTGGTCCAGAGAGATTTCCCCTGGAAAGTAGAACATATCAGCCAGAAAGTCAGGGAGGGCTCTGCCAGAATCATGCCACATGGACAGAACACGGGGAGCTTCCGGGCTGGTCAACGCCCGGAGATCTGGGGAGAGTGGCCTGGAGAGGACACAGAAGCACCGTGCTCCTTCTCACATACCTTGCCCCACACATCTCTTCCATTTGGCTGTTCCTGAATGATATCCTTTTATAATAAAGCAGGAATCTGCTGATAATGTTGACCCTGCCCACTGGAAAACAATGGGCTTCCCGAAGCTTCGCTGCTGGGACTCCTGTGGGGCCTCCCCTCCTCAGCTGACACAGGGCTGCACCTCAGCCTACATTTGGCTCCCCCAAGCTCTGTGGAGATACTGGCCCATCCAGGTGAGGCTGTGCTTTGCATCTCTTTGGCTTTTAAGATATTTAAATATCTCCCTATCTCCCATCCCACTCCAAAGACTCCATTAGAACATGGAGAAAGAAGGAGGGAAGGGTGGGAGGAAGGAAGGAAGGCGGGAAGGAGGGAAGGGAGGAGGAAGGAAAGGGAGGAGGGAGAGAAGGAGGACAGAGGGAGGGAGGGAGGGAAGGAAGGAAGAAAGGAAGGAGGAAGGAAGGAGGAAGGAAGGAGGAAGGAAGGAAGGAGGGAGGGAGGGAAGGAAAGACCGTGTTTTGGATCAGAAGACCTGGACAAGTCTGGACAAGTCACCTCACGTCTCTGAGTTTTGATTTCCTCACTTCTCAGAGCAACTGCCAGAATATATGTAGCACACATAATAGTGAAATAACGTGTGTAAAGTCCCTCAAGCATAGATGTGCTAAAGACAAAAGCAAAACAGAAGCACGGCATGCTGTGTGTTGTCCACGTGCCTGCCCAGGAAAGAGCCTGGGCTTCTCTGTTCTCTGGCCTCCACTTGGATTTGGCCAATGAAGTACCGGCAAAAGACTGGTGTCAAAAGGAAGAGGGAGGTTGGGTATTTATTGCCCCGTCTCCTCCCTCCCCACTGGCTGGGTTGACTGCGCAGAGTTCTTCTACCTAAGACCACACTTCCTTTCCCGCCGCTACCCCTCGCCCCTCCAGGCTACGGAGGCCAGGGCTCCCTGCTGTAGTCCTGGGTGCCCCTCCATCCGTACCAACCCCTTTAGGGATTAAGGCCCTCCATCAAACCCTCTCTCCAATGGCCCCTTCGGCCTGCTGGAACCTTGGCTGATGCAACGAGCCAGTTTCCCTATTTTTATCGAGGTGCTCTCTTGTCTGTCCCCCACCCCAGCTGCAGAAAGAAGGTTCCTGTATCCTGAAGGATAGACCAGTCTTAGGGGAGTCTCCAGAGGGGTGGAGTGAGACCACCCTCGGGCAGAGGAGCCTGGGAGAGGATTCTTGGCAGAGCTGCTTGCCCGGCTGGGCCCCACGGGTAGCAGCCATCGGAGATGCCTCGGTGCCCCAGTTCTCTTCCTGAATTTTGCAAGAGCAGGGTCTTGTCCGCCCAGCCCCTTCTTACCAGCCCAGGTGTCCAGGCTGTGGGAGCCTGACTCACACTAGTAAAATGAGCCAGGACCAATGGCTACATCAGTTTATTCAGTGATCCTGAGAAGGACATGGGCTGAGCAGGAGGATTCTGAGGTCAGCTGGTGAGTAGGCTCTCCTTCAGGAATTAGTGGTAATAAAAACAGTCACCAGATACTGAGCACCTACCAAATGTCTAGGTGCTGTGCTGGGACTTTCATTCCTCCAGCAAATAGTAATTGAAGTCGGGTACCATTCCAAGCCCTGGAGATAGAGCAATGAACACATGCACAGGGACGCTGCCCTCTTGGCGATGGGCATCTGTCATCGTAGCTAGTCCCTGACTGAGGACATTGGGGTCCAGAAACTTGCTAAAGGCACTCACTGGTAAATGGTTGAGCCAGGATTTGAACCCAGGCCTCCCCCCAGGAACTGTCGTCTTTGGAAAGTCCAGGAGGATCAGGGAGTATCGTGGGAAGCACAAAACCCAACTCAGGGAGAGAGGACCTGGGAGAAGGAGGCGCTGATCTGGGGGGGAGGGGACACGGGGCTCCCATCTGTATTCCAGCTGCCTGCGGTGACTAAAACGTAGGGTCAGGGGCCCACGGTGACACAACCAGGGGAGGATGCTCTGTGAAACGGTGCTCCTGGCTTTTGCTCGTTTGTAATTTCCTTCTTGACGTAAAAATTGTGAGTCATGGTCTCAGAACTTGTCTAGTTTCACAATCCACAGAGATGATTGCAGACACTGTCGTGACTCCTGCCGGCACATTCATTTTTCCCTCCCGGTTTGGGACATCGGGGATTTATTTTGGAAGGTCGGTGGAAGCCAGGCAGGGAAAGGTAAGCACAAGACCTCGTGTGCCACTCAAGGGGAGTGTCGTGCCAAGGCTCCGGGAATGCTGAACAGCTGGCCAGAGCTCCGTCTCCCCGAACGCGAGCAGACATCCGCCTAGTTGAACACCTACTGTGGGCAGACGGTGGATTAGGCAAAGGTGGGCAACGGTTAAAACCATAGACAAAGCTCTGAGCTGACAATGGCGAG